GATGTTTGCCGATGCGGGCAGGCGGGGAGGCAGGGCCCTGACAGTGGCTAAATCGCTCTGCGCCCCAGTTTCCTCGCCTATAAGGTGGGGAGAAGGTGGTGGCTCTTGTGACCTGTGTGTAGCCCGCTGTAGTGACCTGTGTGCAGCCCGGGTCGGGGCCTGGCGCAGAGCACGAGGTAATTGCCAGCGACCACTGTCGTTGGGGTGATGACGCCAGGCCCCTCCCGCACACCCGCGCCCACGTGCCCGGGGGTTTCCTTGCAGAGCCTGGCGCCAGAGAGGCCCAGCGAGCCTGTGACGTCCTTCGGAAAGGGGGTCCTGGCTCATCCTGCCTCCTGGCAGAGGACTAGAGGGGCGCGAGCCGGGGTGGCTGGAGCGGAGCCTGGTACCCCCTTTCCACCTGCACCTCAGCCTGGCAGCGCCCTCCCGGGGCCGCCCTCCACGCGGCCCGGCGCGTCATCACACTTCCAGCCTCGGCACCGCCTCTCCCACCCCTTCTCCGTCTGCTCCCGTCCCGCTTCCTCGAGACGCTCCGGGCTCTGCCTGCTCCACCCGCAGCCTCCTCAGCTGACCCCCACCGCCCCAGAATCGGATCCGAGGGACACAGCAGAGTTGGCGGTCCGCACCAGCACCCGTGCCAGCCGAGTTTGGGGTGCTCAAGCCGCCTCTCCCTTGTTGGCTTGAGTCGGGGCCCGGCCTGGACAGCTTCGGCGTCTCATGGAGAGTCAGCCGTGAGGCTGTGGCGGTGGGCATCCGGGGAGAAGCTGGCCGTCCTCGTCCAGCCTCCCTCTGCCATCGGCAAATGCGGCCCCTCACCCCTGCTGAGCTCCGGTAAGGCCCAGCGCGTCCAGGGCCCGTCTCGTCACATCTGGGCCCTGAACACCAGGAGGCGGCGCCAGCCCGCTGGGCCGCTGGGCCTGGACGAGTGGGTGCTGCGGCCGGAGGGGGGCAGGGGCACCGCCGCTCTCCCTGACCGCTGCTGACCGCCTTCTGTCCCACCCCTGCTGCGGGGCCGGCCCGAGGGAGGGGCTTCGTTGCTGATTTCGGCAGGGACCCACCAGGCCTGGGTGGTGGCCCAGGGGCCCCGCACCTCGCTGACTCCACCCGCCGCGCTCTTCCCCACTCTTCATTTCCCAGTGCATTGCCTGGACGGACCCGGAGCCCCTGGACGCCTCCCCGTCCGAAGCACACAGGCCGCCTGTTGGGTAAACACCCCCCGGGCTGGCGCCTGCACCCATTGCTCCCCTCCTGCTCCCCGAGGAAAGCAGCAGCGACCTGGGGACGGGCAGGTGGGCTCAGGGCCCAACTCAGTTCCCGTGTTAGTGCAGAGGGGGCGGCTGAGCCCGGTGGTCTTGAGGTGCCCAGCAGTCGGGAGGCTGCTCTGACTCCTGTGTGCCCGAGGTGGGAGGGCAGCGGGCTCTCCATCTCCCTCCACACCCCCAAGAAGCCAGGGAGATGTTTGCTAGGTGCCAGCAAGCCCCTTGCTCTTCTGCATACAGATCACCTGAGCCCACAGCCCGAAGGCCCCGGGCAAGGAGAGAGGCCAGCAGCTGCCCCAGCCCGCCCATTCCAGGAGCAGCAGAGAGGGGGACAGAGACGGGACTCGCCTCACGTCCGAACCAGCAGAACGGATGAGGGGGTGCAGAGGGCGGGGGTTGAGACCTCTGCGGTATTGCTCATCTCTGCACAGGAGACCGGGAGAGAAGGCGGGGCCACCGAGCGGCGGTGGATGAGAGCTGAGAGTGCAGGCGCGCGGCAGCCGTGCTGGGCCATGAGGCTGTGGGGGAGGCCGTCCGGGGCGAAGCTGGCCGTCCTCTTCCTGCCTCCCTCCGCCATCCGCGAATGCGGCCCCTCATCCCTGCTGAGCTCCGGGGAAGGCCCACGTCTTCCACACAGCTCCCTCTGAACCCTCAGTCTTCCCAGCCAGGGGGCAGGGTGGTGGTCTCTCCTCTGCACGCAGGCGAGCTCCTGATGGGCCCTGGCAGGGTTGGCGCGCCTCCGCGTTGCCCACGCGGCTGGTACATGCTGAATGCGTGGTGCCCTGGCCAGTCAGTCGTTCTCCGGAACAGGAGGAGGGGCACAGCAAATGCGAATGAGCTGGCGGCCCACTTGTGTTCTCTATGCAGCTCCGTCGATTTTCAGAGCATCTTCACAGGCCCCCAGGTGGTTCTGTAGCAAAAAGGCCGATGCCGCCGTGACAGATCTGGGGTGGCAGTCATCCGGGGTGGCTCACCCCGGCCGTGGGGGCCGTGAGATTTCCTGACTGCACTTGTGCCTTGGGGGCCTCCCTGGGACAGTGCTGGAGGCTCGCTGCGCATGGTGCAGACGTTTCCTGTTTGGGCTGCCACCAGGCGTGACACGAAATGACTTCTGACTGTTTGCAAACAAGCTCAAAGGCCGACGACGCGCCTTCCAGTGAGGATGCTCTGGCACGTGAGATCCTGGGACGCCTGGCACCGGCAGGGCTCACCAGATGTGTTGCAGGATCTAAAGCTGTTCTCACACAGGAACTCCAGAATGTTTAGAGAAATACACACACTGGCCTAAGCAACAGAGATACTGCTCTTCTGCGTTTGCTTTTCTTATTATTGAGGTCATGTTGGCTTTCGTGACTATGTACTCAGGGGTCACGTGTGTCCTTTTAAAAGGTGCAAGGCTTCCCTGGTGGCCTGCGCGTCAAGTCCCGCCGCCATCACCATGGAGGCCCGAGTTCCATCCCTGACCCCGGAGGTGACGCCAGGGTGCAGCAGACTCCTCCTGTCTCCCCGCTGCTCCCCTCTTCAGTGGACTCACCTGTTCTGCTCCCCACTCTGTCTCTGGGGAGTCCTCTCACCCCTGCACTCCGGCCTGCACCCCAGATCTTCTATGCAAAAAGAACTCCAAAAAACAACGCTGTAAGTTCCCTGTCGGAGACTCTGCGGCCGACGAGGCCAGTGGGCTGCTGAGGCGGGGCAGGGGGCGGGGACCGAGGCCCGGCCCGAGCCTCTGCTCCGCCCAGTCGCCACTGGCATCTTCCACTTTTCGCCAGAGGCGCTGTGGATGAAGCTCAGATTTCTGGGTGGAATTCCCAGGTATTTCGCACGCCACCCTCGGCCAGGAGCACCTGCCGGCCCTGGCTGGTGGGGAAGCTCAGACTCCCCGGGGCTCCTGGCGGCCAGAGGGGCTCCCCGCGTGCCGTCACCCCCATACTTGGTCTTCTCTCCCACCTTCTCTGGAGCTTTGTTTTGTGACCCTTTGTCACCGCTGTGGCTTCTCTGGCCGACCACCCCCAAACGGCAGACCCCCGGGGGCTCACCCCAAGCTCACCCTTGGGAAGATCACGCCACTTCTGTGATTGCCGAGGGGCCGGGGCTTTCTCTTTTGGGGGTCCTCTCTCAACTCCCTCCAGTCACACAGGCCCCAAGATGGCTCCTGCGTCACCGAGGGGAACGTCACTGCCAGGTCATCGATTTCTTCATCGCCTCTGCCACAGCCTTGGGCCACGGTCAAACCCCCCCAGCTGGACTGCTGGCACCCTCTGGCTAGGCCGCCATGTCTACACGGCACCCCTGAAACTGCCCGTTCCCCTGCGCACACCTTCCACCACCTGCTCTGCTCTTGGGGAAGTCTGGAGTCCGTCCTTCGTGCTCACGGGCCTCCGAGCCGGGCCTCCGCGTCTCTGAGGCTACTTCTGGGGTGTCAGCCTCTTCCCGCCAGCCGGGACCTCCACACGACCTCCACCTTCACCTGGCCGCTTCCACCCATTCCGGGCGGCGCCTTGAGGCTGCCATCCTGCGGCCTCCCCTGCCCTCTCCTGGCCGTCGGAGGCCCTGACCCTCTGCTGGCCTGGGCAGGCTTTCACTGCTTTGCAAGCCCTGGGCGGGGGAAAGGGGGGGACAATGTGCAGGCTGCTTCCCTGGGTGCCCAGAAACCCTCGCCAGGGTAGTTGTTTTCTGATAGTGACATACGAGACAAAGGGCTCAGCCCTCATCCACGTCAAAGATCTTACTGTAAGGAGAAAGGGAGGCCAGGAAGCCCAGACCTCTGCTTCAAGAGGCGGGGGAGGGTTGAACCCACCTCCTCACCCCAAGTCCAGCATGGGCCCATCACCCAGCCCTCCCCCACCGCCAGCCAGCCCACCCCAGCTCTCGAGCTCGCTGGGCCCCGGAAGCCCAGCGGCCAGTCTCTGGATAAGCCTCCATGGGAATGCCAGGCCTTACGGAGGCGAGGTGACAAGCAAGTGTCTGCCGTCACTGTCCCTCCCCGGCAGGGTGGCAGGCGTGCAGCTGCCCGAGAGCCCTAGGGAGAGTGGGGACGGCTCCATGGGGATGGCCGGCTGGAGGGCGCCCCGCCCCTGCGCACGCCCACTGTCCAGCCCCCACCCCAGGCCGCACAGCCGCACCAGCGTCACCCCTGGCAAGACTTCGGCGGGGGCAGAGCAGGGGGCAGCCACTGGCTGGGGGCGCCCTCAGTAAGCTGTTTGCATTATGAAGTCGCCAAGGGGAAAGCCATCCCTGGCCTGTGCTTCGCTGCGCCGCGGTCTCCACTCGCGGGGACTGACCGCCTGCACCTTAGTTTGGAAGCCCATTCCCAGCTCTGGCTAAACTTCTCCCCCAGAACGGGAGGGGAGGGGGTGATGGATGCAGGTTAAGGGGGAGGCATGGTGAAGAGTCAGGGCTCCCTCCCAGCTCATCTGTCAGTGCCAGAACCTTCAGGCTAATTTTAATGAACTTGAAGTACACAGAAGACCCTTTATTCCCGCCCCCGCCCCCCCAGTTCTTGGCAAGAGGGTCCCGGGAAATGCCTGTTTTCCCATGGGGTGTCTCTGTGGGGCTTTCCAAGGGCTGGGGCCTGAACTCTTGCCAGCAAGGGTTCACAGTAACATCCTCTTTGCCAGGAATGTCAAAGCTGTTTTCCGAGGTCAGCTCGGGCAGGGGCGGGGGGCGGCCAGGCACCGATGGGGCCGGGGCCTCCCCCACAGGTGAGCCATGGAAGGAAGCGGGCAAGAAGCGCCAGCGGGCTCAGAAGAAGAGCGGGGGCGCGGTGCCCTCGGTGGGAGGGGGCCAGCCTGGGGCCGCGAGGTCAGGGTCGGCGGGGTGCGCGGGGTCGCCGTGGGTACGCTGGTGCCGCACCAGGTGAGTCTTGCGGCTGAAGCTCTTGCCGCACTGCGGGCAGGAGAAGGGGCGGGCGCCCGTGTGAATGGCCTGGTGGCGCACCAGGTTGGTCTTGGAGCTGAAGCTGCGGGCGCAGACGGCGCAGGCGTGGGGGCGACTGCCCGTGTGCACCGCCTGGTGGCGGCCCAGGTGCGACTTGCGGCTGAAGCGGCGGCCGC